ATATCATGATGAAACTTGGTACACGTATTTCTTGGATCCATAAGAGGGCCCACAAAATGGCGGAAACCGAAAACCTATATAGTGTCATAACTAAGCCATAAATAAAGATTTTAAAGTGAAATCTGGCACAAAGGATCGCATTAGAGAGGGGCATATTTGGACGTAATTTGTTTGGAAAAGAGGGCTTGGCCCCGCCCTTTACTAAGTTTTTGTACATATCTCGGAAACTAATATGGCTATGTCAACCAAACTCTACACAGTCGTTTCCTTCAGACATTTCCATATACAGTTCAAAAATGGAAGAAATTGGAGAATAACCACGCCCACCTCCCATACCAAGGTTATGTTGAAATTCACTAAAAGTACGCTAACCGACTAACAATAAACGTCAGAAACACTAAATTTTACGGAAGAAATAGCAGAAGGTAGCTGCACCCAGACAGTTTTTTTTTTTTTAATTGAAAATGGGAATGGTGTCGCCCACTTATGGACCAAAAACCATATCTCAGGAACTACTCGACCGATTTCAATGAAATTCGGTATAGAATATTTTCGTAACACCCTGATGACATGTAAGAAAAATGGGTGAAATCGGTACACACCCACGCCTTCTTCCAATATAACGTTCTTTTGAATTCCATTTGATGCCTTCCCTGTATAATATATACATTAGGAACCAATGATGATAGCGGAATAAAACTTTACACAAATACGGTATTTGAGCTGAGGTATCCCTTGTGGAAAAATTGTAGTGTTCGGACTATAACTTTTCAATACAATTAAAATAAATGAAAATACAATTCAATACTCAAAGTACACAAATTGATCTAATCTAATTAATTTTACAGCAAAATAAAAAAATATGTAAATGACTTATAATGAAATCTCGATTATCACTTTATCATGCGAGAGTATAAAATGTTCGGTGACACCTGAATATCACCCTTCCTTACTTGTTAGTATGAAAATTAATAGTAGGCGGGCCGGGAGTGCTAAATTTGCAGTTACTGGAGCGTCATGGAGAAAGTCTAGGTCAAGTTTTCCATTTTAGTGGGGGGAAGAGCGGGTGATAATTTTCAAAAATTAAAAAAAAAAAAAATAGTCAAATAAAAATACTCAAGCGCGTCAGTCATTTATGTTATATACGCGCATTCTATTTCTGATAGTCGATATACATACATTAATCTGACAATCAATTCAAGGGGGAGGGCCGTAATGAGAAGTTAAAAAAAAAGTTATTCGAGCGTGTCAGATTTTCAAAGGGAATGTTAATAAACCTCTGAAAAGTGTGCCATTTAAATTTCTGACAATTTCGACATGACCAAAAGTCATGACTGATTTTAAAACTTGTAAAAAAAGGTGACCTTGAGATACTCGACCGCCCCAGATTTTTATACAGGGGGATGAACTTGATGTCAGAGTCTTCCCAAAAGATTATCTGACAATTATATAGAGGGTATCGTTAATCTGACGGTTTAAAAGTGGAAGAATTCTGTTTGGTTTCTGTTTTTGTTACAGAATGAAATAAAAGCAGTGTATACATATGCACAGTGAGTGCCACTCAAAATGGTAAGAAAGTGCTGAATGAACGTGAAGAGCGTTGGATTCTCAAAAAAGTAAAATTTAATCCACGTCTAAGTGCTCCAAACCTTCGAGATATGTTAGCTGAACAATTTAAAACAAAATCTAGTGCAACAACTATCAGGAGGGTTATTCATTAGGCTGGTTTACATGGAAGAATTGCTCGGAAAAAAACATTCGTTAGTGAGAAAAACAAGAAAAATCGTTTAGAGTACGCTCACAACTACCACATGAAGGATTTTGAGTTCTGGAAAAAAGTAATATTTGTGGACGAATCTAAATTTAACTTCTCTGGATTAAAATGTAGGGTAAACGTATGGCGAAGACCACATGAAGAGCTGGATCCGAAGCATCTTCGACCTACAATGAAGTATGTGGGGTGTGGGGTGCTTGTTCGACTGCTTCGTGAAAGGGAATATGGACAAATTCCAGTATTTACAAATTTTGCGAGAAAATCTAAAGCAAAGTCCAAATAAATTGGGTGTAGAGAGTACATTTCACTTGTATCAAGATAATGATCCGCAGCATTCGGTTAATATTGTGTGAGAATGGTTACTGTATAACTGACCTAAAGTCTTAAAAACACCCCCGCAATCTCCTGATTTAAACATAATTGAGAACTAATGGCATAAATTGGAAACTGAAATCCGGGAATGCGCAATATCAAATCAAAACAAGTAAGGAAGGGCTAAGTTCGGGTGTCACCGAACATTTTATACTCTCGCATGATAAAGTGATAATCGAGATTTCAGGCGTAGTTGTGAACCGATTTCATCCATATTTGGCACATGTCATCAGGGTGTTAAGAAAATATTATATACCAACTTTCATTGAAATCGGTCGAGTACTTCCTGAGATATGGTTTTTGGTACACAAGTAGGCGACGCCATTCCCATTTTCAATTTTTAAAAAAACCTGGATGCAGCTTCCTTCTGACATTTCTTCCGTAAAATTTAGTGTTTCTGACGTTTTATGCTTGTCGGTTAACGCACTTTTAGTGATTTTCAACATAACCTTTGTATGGGAGGTGGGCGTGGTTATTATCCGATTTCTTCCATTTTTGAACTGTATATGGAAGTGCCTGAAGGAAACGACTCTATAGAATTTGGTTGACATAGCTATAGTAGTTTCCGAGATATGTACAAAAAACTTAGTAGGGGGCTTTAAAAAAAATTACCTCCAAATATGCCCCTCCCTAATGCGATCCTTTGTGCCAAATTTCATTTTAATATCTTTATTTGTGGCTTAGTTATGACACTTTATAGGTTTTCAGTTTTCGCCATTTTGTGGGCGTGGCAGAGGGCCGATTTTGGCCATCTCGAACTTATCCATGTTATGAAGCCACGAAATACGTGTAGCAAGTTTCATCATGATATCTCAATTTTTACTCAAGTTACAGCTTGCACGGACGGACGGACAGACGGACGGACGGACAGACAGACATCCGGATTTCAACTTTACTCGTCACCCTGATCACTTTGGTATATATAACCCTATATCTGACTCTTTTAGTTTTAGGACTTACAAACAACCGTTATGTGAACAAAACTATAATACTCTCCTTAGCAACTTTGTTGCGAGAGTATAATGGCTTCATGACTGCACTAATGGAAGAGTGGGGGAAAATACCTCCAGACTACGCAAAAAAATTAGTGGAATCTATTCCTAATAGGTTAAAATCAGTTATCAATCAAAGAGGTTATCCCACAAAGTACTAATTTCTAATTATTTAATGATATTTTTATGTATTTTCTTAAATTTAAATAAGTGGGCCACTTCATGTGGTTCATATAATTCGATGTAAATTTCTTGTTCCAATGAATATTTTTACGTTTGTTTTTGTTGGCTATTGTCTAAAAGTTAAGACAAATAAAAAATAAAAAAAATAAAAACTTAGCTTTAGTGTTTATAACACGTTTTGTTAACTTCTCACAGGTGGGCACTCACTGTACATATACGAGTATATGTAAAGAAAATTGAAGAATTTATTAATATGAAAATAGATATAAATATTAAAAAAACGTCACTCATTTTTACAATGGATGTAAAACTGATCGCTGTAAACGGGGGAAAAAATAGAAAACCCCACAAACAAAAAAAAAACCCACCTACATACACACCTCTCAGCATCAGTACGCTTGACCTTTTGTCGACGATTTTACCTGTATCGCCCATTGCAAACTGTCAGATTATGGGATTTTCGTGATTCTGACAGAATTACCTTTAAAATGAAAAAAAAAATCTATCGTGATCGAGTATTTTAAGGTGACGTATTTTTTTTACAAATTTGTCACCCTGCTATTTCTCTAAGTCACCCTCAAACTGTCAGAACATTAAAATATGCACTCGTCTTCATGCATTTAATTTACTATGTCGATCGATTTTTTTCTCTAATCCGATGAACTCCCCCAACGCACCCCACCCCATAAAATGTTTTTGACACGCTTTAGTAATCCCCGCCTGGACTCCCCACTATAATGAACACACCTGAGTTGTCGGGAGGTCTTCTGCATGTAACATAAACAGATTTTTCATTTACTTTAAAAATATTTCTCATTTTCGTTTAACTATTTTACCACTGTTGTTTTGATCAGTTTCTTTTCAGTTTCACTATTCTCTTGGCGCTCATCATAATTTGGTCTTTCTCATATTCATCACATATAATTTGACCGTAGTCTCCATTTTTGGCAATTTCTCACATATTGAAAGGGAATGTTATACAAGAAAAAGCTAAGGGGGCTTATTTCCCGTTCCCTCTTCTAAACTGGTGGCTTTGCAGTAAAACTTTCGTTTTCAAAACATTGGTAGTAAATCCAGCTCTACATTGTTGAGTTGAAGGGGGTTTTGTGGTTTAGGTTGACCACCCAACGGTCCAACAGTGTGTACACACTTCACTGCCTTTCTGAATTGCTACTAGTGCTACTGTCACTTCTTTGGTTAATGATTTTTAATTGCAATTGAGAGTTTTCCATTTTCTTTCACACACTGCTGATTGAGTTTGAATTATTCTGCAAATTTGTATGCGAAGAGAACACCATATGAAGAAAATAAAAATTTTATTTGAACATAATTAGGTTGGTATAACGAACTGCTTCCGTTTGAATCCCTCTCTACCTCTCTCTTTCTTTCTTAATGCTAGGTTGTTAAGCTTTCCACTGGCCCACGTCTTGGTCTCTCGAAGTTCCTTTCTTCTGCTGCAGTTCCGCTATGCTGCCACAGTGAAAGGGAAACAACGCCAACAGACCGCCGCTGCGACTGCAGCTATCTTAAACTTTATTACCGCCACAATTGTTGTTTTACCGCAGCATTTTTTCTGTCCAATTTCGTTAACAACTTTTCGCCGCTTTTCTGCATTGCTTTTATTATAGTATAAAATTCAGATCACTCTAATGTCGATCAACAGTCGGTACTAAGTGATAGTGTAGCATACAACTCACAGCGGCATTCATAGCTGTAGTCCTGCTTAAGTAGCCAATTCAAAAGGATATAAATCAGTTCGAGCAAACATGCTGCCACAAAGAACTATGGAATACTTATTTTATTTGGGATTCTTCATTCTGTTGTTGAGATTTGCCGATGCAGATGCTGCTACTGTACGCGCTTTTGAAGAGCCTGCCAGCGAGAATAGTCTGAAGGCACCACCCGCCTCACATTCCAGCCCCACCGAGACTGCAGGCACGAGCAGCAGCAATAGCAAACGTGACGTAATGAAACGCGCATTTGAAGAGTGTAAAACACAGTTGAGCTGGATGTGCTTGAAAATTGAATTTGTGAAAATTATGGAGCGTTTGATGGAAAGGGACGAGCTGAAACTAGTGCCTGGCGTGAGTGTAGTGAGAAATGCTAATGCCACGGAGGTGAAGAGCAACGACTTAATGGCAGGTAGGTAGGAAACTGCAGGTGTCTAGAAGAGAAATCAAAATTGATCTGTGCTTTTGCACATTCCAATATAATGTAAAAGAAAATAAGTAAGCAAAGGCTAAGTTAAGCTAAGCTTAAGATAAGCTTAAGATAAGTTATATAGTGTCGCTCAAATTGATCTACATATTTTAGGCATACACTATTATGAGTCAATTTTCTTATTTTCATTGTGATAACTAACATATTCGGCGATATATGCGGTGCAAAGTCACCCCGATGTTTGAAAATCTTTATCATAAATATATACATAAATAAGACATTTTTCGTACAAAGTTTTATCCCGATATATTAATTGTTTCTTGATTTGTGCACTGGAAACTAACGAATCAAGTGGAATTTAGAATTGTGCTATATGGGGAGTAGGCGTGGTTGTTGTCCGATTCCGCCCATTTTCACAATGTGACATAAAAATGTAAGAAGAATGCCACGTACCATATCCAGCGTTCGATTTTTTCCCCTGCTCCCATAAAGCTCTCTCATACTATCTCTTTAAAAATTTAATGTCTCTGGCGTATTTAGTTATCGAGTTATCGCGCTTTTAGCAGTTTTTAATAATACCGTTATATGGGAGAAGTTCTTATAAAAATTACATATACTCAGAAAAGTGGCCACGCCTACTTTTTCAAGAATTTTTTGCTTATATTGAAAGTCACAGACTCATCTAGCTGTACTAATATGTTTTATACACGTCGGTCAAAATTTTATTAATGAGATATAGGATGGATTGAGACTCAAACAAAGATCAAGAAGTGTAATATATTGAGTTGTTGTGAGAAACGTCAACCGAATCATCGAAATGTGTTATAATAAGATATGAGGTTTGGAACAAGGCTTAGACGAACTTCATTCATATTCAACGCTAAACGACAAAATTATTAAGAAAACTTGTTCTCCTAATTTGATTAAAGCATCACACATTTTAACCAACTTAAGCAATGTAAAAGTGGGTGAAAAGTCGGAAACCACTACTTAAGCTATTTTACGAACAAAAATAAGTTTTGGCTGATTGCATTCGCTTTTCCATTGCCCGACTACACCCAAGAACATATTTGCAAGCAATTTAATAAAATAAAACGTACACACTGACCAACATATTTGGCATAAGGTTTATTAGAATAACAAAAATCTTTATATACATATGTGAGGTATATGGAAGTCTGAACCATTCCTAAACCAATTTCACAAATGAGGCATTAGGTTATATTCAATATTACACATTCAGTTAATTTTGCTAAGTTAACTTACATATTGACCGATATATACGGTATATAGCCAACCGGAAAAAATATAGCCAGTTGAAAGAAGATATGTGGGAGACAGGGGTAGTGTTGACATGATTTCATTTATTTTAAACTGTCTGTGTTTCATTAGTTGTATGGGGCTAGGATGTGTTTTCACCCGATTTTATTGATTTTAAGTACAAAGATAAATTTTTATCAGAAAAACACGTTCTCATAATTGCATAATAAAATATGCGGCATAAAGGCAATCGGATGTTCGAAAATATTTACATTAGGTACATTTGGGCTACGGGAAGTCCCGATTCAACTGGCATTTTCGGTAAAAAGTAAGTACCAAACCAAACTTTCAAGGTCATGAACCCTGAAACAGATGTATCTCACAAGGGTTAGGAGATAATTACAATTATACCCTCTTGGAAAGAAGTTAACTTTCTAGAGTATATTGAACCATAGAAAAAGGACAAAAATATTCCCTGCGGATTACAAATTTTGCAAATTTACTAAGTCATAATTTCAATAATTTAAATATCTCAGTCGCTTTGGAACGAAGAAAGAACTTGCTAAGATATCCATTAATTAAAGATCCATTCAAGGTTTGCGATTTTCTAACAGATTTTTAACCGATATTTTCTATTTGAATTAATTGACTTTTTCCTATTGAGTCTTAACCAAATCAATAAATTAACAGCTTAACTTTTGATTCTGAAATACCTGTTCCCTTTCTATATATATAAATTACCAAACTTCCTCTAATATAATCCTATCCTATAATTACCTTTTGTAACGCCAAGATATAAACTATCTAATAAATCCATATATTTGTATTTTCTCACATTCGATTACTACAGAAGTTGCACGAAGCTACCCGAATGACCCTAACTCACGTCTCAATGGATATATTGTGAATAAATTGAGTAGTTTCCTGCAAACACACTTTCTCCGTTTCAAATTGATCGACAGCGAAACAATGGCGGAAGCTCATTCGGCTGTGGAGACAGGACGTAAAGGAAAATTTGGCAAAAAAGGTGGTATGGAGGCGCTCATCGCAGCAGGTCTAATGATGAAGGGTAAGCACCATTTCCTCCAAACTAAGAACTTCTCATTTACTAAATATATTTGTTCAACTTAGGAACTCTGATGGCCATTGGTATGGCTGCTGTGGCGTTAATGGCTGGCAAAGCACTCATGACGGCACTAATGGCCTTAACACTATCCAGCGTATTGGGTTTGAAGAGTTTGGCTTCCGGCGGTGGAAAGTCCACAACATACGAAATTGTTTCCAAACCCGTATACACTTCAAGCCATTCGCACTCCTATGATGAAGGACACAGCAGCGGACACGGACATATGGGAGGTGGCCACAGCGGTAGCGGTTATGGGGGTTACGCGCGGAGCCTCAATTTAGAGTCACCGAATGAGCTGCAGTGAAGAAGCTTACCATATTTAATTCAAGCTTAGTTTTAATCTAGTTTGTAATAAATTATTGAACGTTTTATATACATATTTAGCATAAAAGTATTTATTCTAAAAATAATAATTCTCTGAAATCTTCTAATAGGCATTTTTGTGAATATCGTACTACCAACTTCTAACGGTTGCAAATAATAATAATTAATTTATTCTGCATATATTGTGCAGCCAAAGCTTTTATCACATAACATAAATTGGATTCACTCATGCATGTCAGTGATATTGTCAAAGTAATTGAATAACCAGCATTTAGCCATAACCCAAAGTTGGGCCTATTGTATACTTGTATGTATATTTGTCGAAAACCCTGTGCCAGTGCTTTAACTTTGCAGGCCAAAAACAGCCGACTGGCCGGGGCTCTTTAAAGTTGTGTAGAATATTTTCTTCTTATTGATTGGCGTAGACACCGCTTACTTGGTTATAGCCGAGCTTACAACAGCGAATGTTCTGACCTCATTTTCAAAACAAAAGGCAGATAGCACTACATATTTTAGTGTAAGTAGTTTCTCATTGGAAATCCATTAGAAATCACACCCAGAAATTTTAAATGGTGGACAGTTTTTAGTCTCACTGTATATGCGTATGTTTAAATCGCATACAAATAAGCGACCAAAGCAACATTAAACGAATATACTTTTAGGCGTTATGTGTCTGCCTGATGGGGTACCTTCAAATGATAAAAACCAGACGAAATAAGTAAAATAAATAAGTAAGGAATGGCTAAATTTGGGTGCCACCGTACATTTTATACTCAAGATCGAAAACGTCAACCAGAGGATCGGAATCTAAGCAATTTTATATACTTGTATACTTATGTATACTCTATATAACTCCTACATTGAACCACATATTCGGCATAAGATTAGTTAGAACAAGTAAGGAAGGGCTAAGTTTGGGTGTCACCGAACATTTTATACTCTCGCATGACAAGTTTCATCAAGATATCTCAATTTTTACTGAAGTTACAGCTTGCACGGACAGACGGACGGACAGACATCCGTATTTCAACTCTACTCATCACCCTGATCACTTTGGTATATATATGGTATATCTGACTCTTTTAGTTTTAGGACTTACAAACAACCGTGCTTAGCAGCTTTGTTGCGAGAGTATAAAAACGAACATTATTATATGCGAGTTGGGGTAGTATCTACCTGATTTTATCTGTTAAATATTATCATGCCACATTCTATTAAAATGTTCACTGATATTCATTACGGTACCTCATATACGATCATCAATCATATGGAGTAAACTCAACTGATCATCTGAATGTTTGTTATATGGGGCTAGGTTAAGGTTTCGCCCAATTTTATCCATTTTAGGCACAAAGATATACTTCTATCAGTAAAACACGATCGAGAATCGTTTCATTAGGCATATGAGCGCTAAAGGAAGTGTTGACCCGATTCAATCCATTTTTGTCACGCAGACATACCTTTGTCAGGAAATGATTATTCCCGAATTTCAATTTTACAAGTAAAGTAAGTAAATCTTACACATATCATATTTGCAGTAAAAGTTTAACTAAAGTACTAGATTTGGACAATATTTAGTCTTAAGATGGCATACTCTAAAGGCATTATTCGTACACTGGAAAAGAAAGAATCAGATGGAATTAAAAATTATGTTATGTGGAAGTAGGCGTCGTTGCAGTCTGATTTCGCCCAATTTCGCGTTGTTACATACGAATATGAAAAGAACGTCATGTACCTAACATAGGTACATAGGTCGGGCGCGTCCCTGCGTATTTGATTTCACCTAAAAGTGAGCGATACCACTTGGATGTTATGTTGTAGATTTATCGCACTTTTAGTACTTTTTAAGTACCGTAATATGGAGAGTGTTCGGTGTGATCTATATATAATTATATATCTACCTCGATTAGTATTACATGATACGTACAACCGTTAGGTAAACAAAACTATTATACACTCTAAATGTTGCGAAAGAATTCACTATGCGATGAAATCATGAACGAATAACATCTAAATTTGTTATCTTATTTAGAAGGTACTGTACCCACTTATTATTACTACTATATTTTAATCGCGCCAACGAAAATTATATTAAAATCATGATAACTGTGTGATATAAACGCCACCGAGGAAGCTAACATAACATAAAGTACTAGCAGAAGAGCTATGTTACCCGATTTTAACTATTTTTGGTAATATCGCAATATGCCAGTTACTAATACAATGCCTTAGGGGTTTCATTACGGTACGTTAATTATCACCAATATATGTATTATATATTATTCATTTTAGGCACAACGACGCAAATATTAAGAAAACACACTCACTCGATTAATAAAAGTATATTATATTAATACAATAAAGTCAGCCCTAAGGTCTCAAATTTTTCTATTATGTATGAGATTTAGTATGGGATTTAATCCTTTTGGTCCGATATGTATAATTTATGTCATTCATTGGTGCTTAATTTGACTCCTGGAAAGTGAAAAAAATCAGATGGAATTTAAAAACGTATTATATAAGATGAAGGCGTGATCGTTTCGTATAATTTCGCACCCTGATATAGGAATAGCAGAATTATGCGGTGTAATGAGTTTGGTTGAAAATGATGGTGCAGGTCTCTTACGCTCGCTTACGTGGTTAAAGCAGAGTTTGCCACACCGCGCCAGTCGTTTCTTCTTTTCGAAATTTGGCGCCAATTCGAGATACTACTTGATCTCTCCAACGGGGTGGATACGTTCCTTTTCCTCTGCTTTTCCCGGCGGGTACTGCGTCGAATATTTACAGAGGTGGAACATTTTCATTCATTTGGAAGACATGAAGTAGCCAGTGTGGTCGCTGTCTCTTAATTCGCTGAACTATTGTCAATGTCGTCGTATCTCATACAGCTCATGGTTCCATCGAATGCGATATTCGCCGCATTTCTTTATCCTGATAATTTATATATATATATATATATCGATTAGTTTTAGGTGATACAAACAACCGTTTGGTAGATATAGAAAATAGACTTATAAAGAACAATTATTGAATCTGATATTTAGATGAACTAAGGAGATATGCCTTTTGGTATAATATTTACTTTGCCAGCAATAGCAGAAAAGTACAACAGATGCAATCAATGTCATAAACGAGACGAACTATCAAACTTTCATTTTAATAAGAATAAAACCGCTCCTTCCAACGATGACGTCACAAGCCAAATTTTCTATCAATTGTGCTTCAAAAAGAGAAAGAGTAACCAAATTGTCTAAAATCTCCTTCTGTCACTATCATAGAAGGGTAAGTATTCAATAGCAATGCATTCGATGAGGGACTTCTTTGGTTTATCAGAAAACATTTTAAAAATTATAAATCTTCTTTACAATGTCCATTTATTGCTATAGTAATCATTACAACAGTATTAGTAATAGTATAGATAAAGATATAAACGGACATAAACATTGGGATAAAATATTAACATATCACGAAAAAGTATTAAATATTTCAAGGAAATTATGCTTGAACTATTATTCTTATATTGAAAGATTGTAATTTTTATCCAAAAAATAGCGCAAGTTCTTAACCAATTATATTGTCAAATGTTTGTACAAATACATAAATCCAGTTTTCCAATTAATCTACAGCTAAACCACCCTCGGACTCATTAAACAGTACTTAACATCCACGGGGAGCAAACTCAACTCAAGAGAGGAGCAGATACGCTTATCTGATTACAAATCAAAACTAGTTCAACAAACAACAGGAAGAATTAAAAATCGTTTAACTTGAGACAACACAACAAGTTAGTAACCTGTTGTGCAAAACCGTTAGAACTATTTCATTTGTACGCATGCAAGAAATCTACTGGTTCTTCTTAGAGCATATGTAAGCAATAACTGTCATCCTTGTGATGAAGAAGACTCCATGAAATTGACCACTCTCACAATGTATCTCTATTTTTCTGTTTTCAAGCAAACCACCAAACGGTTAAAAGCCACCATAACTTCTTGGATTGCAGATGTACTTATGCCAATGGCTATGTATGTGCGTACTAATGCGCTATTAGCAGCTTCTCCACCAACTTTTACCATCACAGCAAGTCCAACAGAATAAACAAGAAGAAGCAACAGCTGGCTGTCAGCGCGATAAGCTTGAAGCTGAAAACTGCAGCCCCAAATAAGAATTCTCGAGTTTAACAAAATAACGTGTTGCAGGCGAATAGTGCTCAGTCAGACAGTTACTGCCAAAAGCGACGTGAACGCGCCAAGGTGAGCTGCCAGTTTCAGAAATTTCGAGTAAAAGTACTTCAGAGATATCTAATGCCAAGAAGTTTGCTTTAACTTTAACGATTCAACAGCAACAATTAGTGTGGGGTGCATTGATCGACGTGAAAAGTCTTAAAGAAAAATAATGTGAAAAGTGTTGTTTAAAGTTTTTGTAAGCTGCTGGTGAGTGCTTAGCTGCGTTAAACGAGTGTTTGTAGTAGTTGGCAGAATTACAGCCGTTAAATTGCCGAAGCCAAAACAACAACCGTTAATATATAAGAATGAAGTGTGTGTGCAGCGAATGAATAGTGAAAAGTTTTTCTGTTTTGGAAAGTAATTGTTTTAAAAAAGTATTTCCAATTTTCGAAAGGAATTGTTCTCAAAATAGCAAATCAAAACAAAGTGAGTAAGAGGAAATAAATAATGCTTGGATAATGAATTTATGTGGTTGTGCTTAGTTCCATTCTATTGGAATAGATGGTCGAAAGTGTATCCTCAATCTGTATACAAACAAAAAATTAGTGAAAGTGTGTAATTAAAGTAATAGCTGACCTAATTATAAAAGAGCTGGCTGCTGCGATGGTCTGAAGTATTTACCAACTAACTTTGAGACGAATTTTTTTGTTTAGTTTCAAAGTATAATTTCGGTTGACAAACTAATATACAGTTATATACCAATTTCATATATTCATATATACTCGTACATGTTTCTGCATAAAGAAGTGTGCGTCTGTGGATTTTAATAAAGTCATATGTACGCAAAAGTGGTTGATATAGTAA